AAAACATGCTGACCCGGTCTCTGTGCAAAATCAGACAGGTTTGACCAGAACAGTCCCTTATGGAGAAAGGAGCTGCCAGCCAGGCCTGAGCATCAAAGGCAGACGGAACGCTGGGTGCTCCGCAGCCTCCAATTAGCATCGGCGTGAGCAGAGCCCAGCTTTTGCAGCACTAAAGGCCACAACCAGCATCCAGCCTCAGGCTCCAGCAATACGTCTTGTTTGCATCTGAGTTTGTTCATCCATCTCCTTCGTCAGGATAGCTGCAGAGACCTGCAGCGTGCGGAGCAACATGCAAACCGCCAGTCCCAAATTCTCCTGGCTGTCTGGCATCCCTGCTGACGTGTGTTTGCATGAAGGGCCAAACACTGCATCTGTACGAGGTACCAGCTCCAGCTGCACACGCAGACACCGCTCAGGGACTGCCTGCAGAAGAGGTTGTCTTGGGATCCTAGCGCTCGTATGGCTTTGGGTTTGTTTTCTTTCCATTTCACTCATTTCTCTTTCACTTCCTTCCTGCCCCGCAGGAAGCGATGGTAAAAGATATGCCCCATCACCACGCTCACGGCTTCCAGTACCTACACCTCTGCTCCTTCAGCTGGCCCACCAAATGCTTTCACTTCTCTACAGGGTTTCATTGAAATGCTCATTTAATACCAGTGCTCCTTACTCATGTAGCACCTAAACATTTACTCTATGGTCTGCTAACCTAGAAAAGTCTCTGCGGACCATGCCACCACATATTGCCTTCTCCCATCCATGCCTTCAGCAATTAACACTCCCCTTTAATTATTTCCCAAGCAGCTGGCAGGGGTGAGCCCCAGCAAAGCTGCACCCCCATGGGCACAGGCTGCCGTGACAAGCTGCCCTTATCCTCCCAACCCCAGGGCACAGATGGGACCGGACAGCACAGGGCAGGCGGATGGGATGTGGAGGAGGAAACGACGGCGCTAAAACTATCGCTCAGCCAGAAATAGGACTTGGCGCTGCTGATGCTCAGTCCCATGCTATAATCTTCAAGTCGCTTGCCCTCCACAAATTTATCCATGGCCTTTTCTCCCTCTCCCCCACCTGACCCCCACATCCTGAGCAAGGTCCAGCCACTCGCCAGCCCCACAGCCACCAGCTCTGCCCCGGCTCTTATCGCCTCCTGTGCCATTTCCCTCCGGACACTTCTCCAAGCCCTGCTCTTTCACCCAGACATCTGTATTCCTGTTTTCTTCCACGTAGCTGGGGGTTAAGATGCAAGCAAACACTTTCCTCAGCCCAGCGCTTGCAGCATGCGAGCCAGCCCTGCACGTGAAGGGGTCCACGAGGCCGAGGTCCTGCCAGGCGCAGGCAGATGCGCCAGGGTTTCCTCCTCCCACCCAGGTTACTTCGACCCAGGCAGCATGTTTTGGAGATAAACTGAGGATTAAGAGTCTGTCCTCACAGCCGTTGCCCTGAAGCTAAAGTCTCGCCTCTACAACACACTCAGCCCCCAAACACTTTCAAATCACCAGCAAAACACCCTTTGCATTTAGGACAGGTGCGGGTTTATGAAGTTTTTCCACGTGTAATAAAATATTACTACTAATTAGGATAATAATAACAAGTGCTAGCTGAGTTCTGCTTGCTTAATTTCCACCTGCTATTTATTTGCAGTTTGATGTGGTATTCGCTTCCTGTCATGCATTCTTGCAAATTACTTCTGTGCCACGTTATCTTGCCGATGTGGTTCACCCGAGGAGTGGCCGAAACAGCTCTGACCGTGTGTCACCACCGACAAGTTCATTTTCTTCTGTAGGAGGAGGAAAAAAGTAATAATAAAAAAAAATAAATCAAGGCTGCCATGTAACTGTATGCTGTGCACATGTGCGTATCTGAGCACGTGCTGTTGTGGGCTTTCTTTTTTCCTTCTTCTTTTCCCCTTCCACCCACATCTTTGCAACCCAGTGAGCTGCAAGTTTTTTGTTTGGCTGTGAAGTGTCTTTTTCATGGAAACGGTGTTGGTGCAGAGCGCAGTTGTGAGCCCCCCTAGGCAGGGACTGTTCAGGACACACAGCTCTTCAGACTCTATAATAATTTCAGTAACATTTCTTTAGAGTTTATAATATTGCTGAAGAAAAAGAGATGTCTTCCATAAAAAGGGATTTGCTCAAAGACTGGGCATAGCCAAGAGCAGTTCAATGCAGACCCATGAGTGTCCCCATCACACCCTCCCCAGCCAGGAGCTGGCAGGAACTTCTTGCACGCCCATCGAAAGTGGCATTGGGTCCTTTTTATCCAGATGCCTTCATGTATCATCAAATCCCCACAGGCCACCCCCAACCATCCCTCTGGGCAAGGGCTCTATTTCCCTGGCAGGGGAAGGTCAACCGCAAAGGCAGAACGCAACTCGCCCCAGGATGTTTAGTTGTGTTATGAGCTTTTATTTAAAAAGCACATTTATACAGCAATAATTTCGCAGATACAAACTTCAATTTTGTATTCTACAAAAGTCTTTGAATATTCTTCTCTTTACAAAATGGAACATTACAAAAATACAGACAATTTAATATGTTTTTTTTATACAAATGTCTCTAATTGTAGTTATTTTCATTAAAATATTACTACCACAGAACTACAATATTTTAGTTGACTATAAAAATTAATTCAATGCTTTTTTAAGCAGCAAAATGTAAATAACACAGGTCAGGACACAGTTTATAGTCATAGTGGATATATCTAAAATTGTTTCAGAAATAATATTTTACATAGTTAATTTTTAAGGTTTTATACATTATTTATATAATATTTATATATAAAAAAATCATAGCTTGCTATAGTTGAAATGATAGGACGGATTCTGTAAGAAGGATGTGCAAATGGCCGTTCTGCATGCTTTGCGGGATCCCTTTGCAAACACGTTCTGTGAAAGGGCTGCAAACCAAGAACCTGTGGTTTCCAGGAGGAGAAAAAAAAAAATAAAGAAAAAAAAAAAATCACACTCGATGTAGGCACAACTGATTTACCACTGGTGTCACCGAGTGGAGCACAGGACCTGGTACCTGCCGTGGCGTGCACCGGGGTGCCCAAGGGAGGTCCCGCCCGGCAGCCCGTCCCGAAACTGCAGAGTAAAAGTTTCCCCAGGACTCAGCCCCGAGGTCGTAGTGCGAACGCATCTTCAGCAGAGCTGCCGCTACCCACTTGCAAACCGCTAGCTCCCACGGGAGCGCAGAAAATCTGCTGCCATTTTTTGGGGGGGATGGTTGGGAAGCAGAGGATGCTCTCTTCACGAAGGGCCATTTGTGCGTGCTGCGCACGCCTGGGGGCTCAGGCAGGACGACCCCTCACCATGGAGCGAGCGGGGAAGAAGAAATGTGGCTTCTCCGCGCAGAGGATGGAGTTATTCAGCCTCACTATGCATCTCAGGACTGCTTGTTAAAGGTGTGTAGTGTGAACAGAGACCCTTCGGAGATCTTTGACTGGGCAAGCTTCTTCTAAACTAAGTCACAGTATTGAATTGAATAGAGGAGGCGAAAATTAACTAGTATCAAAAGGAGAAAAAAGCAACTCTTACAAACCAATCCCAGATCTTGACTCAGTGCTGTTTCTCATATATAGTGCTATACAATTTAGTCATGAGTTGTGTTTTTTTTCCTCGCAGGCATTGGAAATCTTCATAGTAAAAAAATGTCAGATGGCCAGCTTTCCAAAAATTCCTTAGTGTTCATTAGGCTATGAACAACTTGGCGTTCACTACAACATGAACACTCAAACCAATTGCACATCCAGAACTCCGGCACCTCTCTTTGTTCAGCTTTTGCATTTTGTGTTTTTCTGTCTCATTGTCACTTTTGACTTAGTTGACCACCACCCCTTTCATCCAAATGTTGCAAGTTGAAAAGACCACAGAGTAAGACTTTACTGGTCGGGCAAGAAAGTCTCTCCCTACATTCTACTGTCTGATGAGATTTGAGAGCAGCAGGTAGTTGCTGTCAGCAGTCATTTTTTGAAAAAAAAAAAAAAAAAAAAAAAAAAAAAAAATTAAAATAAAATACAACACCCATCCGATTTCTCAAAGGTCTACACCATGTTGTGATGGTTATTCCGCTCAATGATGTCCACAGGTGAAAGGATCTCCTTCCGGATGGGAGGTGGAGGCAGGCAAGTCTTTGTCTTGGGCTTGAAGAGATCCGAGACGTAAAACACCTGCAGAAGTAAGTGGAAAATGCAAACTTAGCCACACTGGGTGATGTTTTGTTCAAAAATCTGGTTTACAGAATATCTACATAACTTTAAGCTGCAAAAATAGCACTTTTTGTGCTATTGAATGCCTTCCTGTAGCACTGATAGCTATGAAATCCCAAGCACCTGTTACCACCTTTCTGTACAATACGGGAAAAGGCTCAGACCTCACAAAACACAGCGTAAAAACATTACAGAAACCATTTCATTTCTCACTGCGTAATTGCCAAGCGCAGTACCCAAACCTCTGCTGAATGGGTTGAAAAGCCAGGAAACAGATACACGGCCCACACTCCAATAAAATAACAGAGGTCTCCAAAGGGCTGGCCTGACTCATGGTGAGTGGTTTCAGGGATGTGCGTGAAACAATTCATTCAGCCAGACATCAGGTAGGCAATTAAAACCTTTCCAATCAAAGCTGTATTAAAAGTTATCAGCAGTGAGTCAACGGAGAAGTGACGCTGTCCTCATGCCCCACCAAGGCACCAGGACAGAGCTGGGGTCTGGTCCTGAAGCCAAAGCCTAAGGAGAGGAGGAGCTATTCCTGACTACTTCTTCCTAAATATCCTGTGATGTAACCCCTCTCCCGGATGTGAAAAAGCCAGCGCTTAGCAATTTTGGGAGGTAGAAACACAATAAGAAACAAAGTGCTGGGAGGAAACTTCCACATCCTCCCTTGGCAGCCGCTGCACAAAGCTTATCAGTCCTCCAGGACTGGGGCACTTTCTCCCTTGCCAAAACTCAGCCACGTGCCAGAAGGGAAAAGAGTCAGACAGCATCCTCTGGACGGGGCGAAAAGTGGTGAGGACTCATCATTTTGTTAGCTGGCACCAAAGCCCCAAACTTCAGTCCTGTTGACAACTGCCTCTGCCAACCCAAATTCACTGGCTCATCTCAGACATCCCTGAGCGCTGATAATTCGGACGGAGCTGTTGGCTTGCAGAGCCAAAGCCCTTGGAGGAGCAGCATGCAATTGTAGGAATTAGCGGCATGTTTGAGTTTTCTTTCACAGTACTCAGGTGCAACATTTAAGCAACAAGATAAAATGGGGAAAAAAACCCTTAAGTCCAAGGTGCTCAAAGGAATAATATTAGATCGGCACATCCAGGCTGGGTGACACTGGGAGGGAGCATCTCCACATTTTCTAGCTACCCAGGGCCCTACACAGCAGGCCTAGTTGTCCTTGGAAACAACTTTTGCAAGTCCCTGTTGGACCAGGCAGATAAGGAACGGAGCTGAACAGACAGTGAACCTGCTGTAAGTGGTGATTTACTCCTACAATTACAACTGGGGACGCAGGAAGCTGAGCTGTTGTTGTTAGGCTTTTATTGCTTCATGGAAAAGCAGAGAAAGAGCTGAGCTACAAAAGGGCTCTTTTTTTGGTGTATGTGTTGGTGCCTGGCTACCTAGTTGTATAACGGAGCTGATGAAGTTGTTTACAGGGCATCCAAGTGGCAGGATTTGTGCCTTTGGTTAAATAACAGGATCCAGCTGAACCTGCGGAGGATCACAAGCTGAAGTCTGGCCTCTTGCTGCAGCATCGCAATGTAAAAGTGTGTTGAACTGCTCTGGCAATGGTTTTATTTTTGGTCATTAATAACTGTAAAACCCCCATTCGGCTGGCTCGGCGTATTTCTGATGCCATCTTGCTCAACTTGCCTGCCTTGGAGAGCTGGATTCAATCAAAAAGATGTCCAGTTTCTGCACCAAGGTAGCCATGACAAATCAATTTATGGGAGGAGATTGCTGAGTTCAAGAAGCATATGGGGATTACACAGAGTCTGGTCCTTATTTTGGACAGGAATGAGTTACGGTGGAGTGTCATCCTGGGTATTTTAGCTTTTTACTGCGCTGCTTGCTGCTTTTCAGGGTCTAATTCAGAGACTGGGTAAGAGGTTTCATTTCTCCTGAAACTGTATTTCACTTTCACATGGCTGGAGGTTATATAAACACTTATAGGAATCATGAAATACGATCTTTGGGGGTTAAACCAGTGTGTTAAATCCTCCTAATGCTTGAACTGTTTAACACAAAAAAGGACTAATAAACGTGCAAAGTTTTTCACTTGGATTAGCTCCATTTCCTGTAGAAGGTGCTCTCCACCCATAAAGAAAACTTGATGGCAGAAGACCGAGCACGTATTATACAAAGTAAGCCAGTATCTTAGATTGCCACTTAATTTCTATTCCTTTGCATTATATTGAAGAAATCCTTAATCACATACAGAGAGATTAACACAACTCATCTGAGTGCAGCAGAAGGAGCATGTCCTTCCGATAGGTCTCCCCTTTTCTATCTCCTTCAGATGAGACAAACTAACACGACACTCAGTGGGCTGCCTACAACGCACAAAAGGACTATTGCCATCTAAGAAATCCTCATTGTATTTCACCTTGGATTCGTGTCTGAATGTTTCATCAGCTGGAAGTGCTTGACACTGGTGTCTTCTGCTTGTTGTTTCAGGCACTAAAGGACAAATGTGTCTGCTGCAGCACAACCCAGATTTAAGCTCTGGCAGCGCTGGGAGGTGAAACCTACAATTGGTTTCTACTGAAAACTACAGCCTGATAGCTAAGGTATTTTAACAGCCCTTGACTATCATCAGAGCAGACTCTTGAAGGCTTGGCTGGGGGAAGGAGTGTCTGGGAGCACCCAGGGTGGGTTGGAGATGATGAGCCTCCAGGTCCCTCCCCCTGCTTCAGAGCATCCCGTGCATGAGAGCTGGATCCCAGAGCTGGGTTAGGACCCCCAGGATGTATCAGTAATTGCTCTGATATACCAGTAATTTTAGCAAAAAGTTGCTAAACTCTACATTTCATGGAAACTCCAGGGAGTCTCAGGGCAACTCTTCCCTTTCTCCCTTGCTGCCTCCTCCCAAAAGGGAAGAAAGTCTGCCGGCCCCTCCTGGGCAATGGCTTACACCAGCAAAGCCGAGTTTGGGAGAACAAGAACATATTGCTGGTTCTTCGCCAGCTGATGAAATGGGAAAAGGGTTGGCTTTAAACCCTGCCCAAGTCCTAAACTGCTGCCTGAGACATCCCCAGCCATCAAGCCATACCTGCAAAGGGTACGGAGACAACGGCCCCCTCCATGAGCCGGCCGGGAAGAGTGGTGCAAGTTGCCCTGGGCTCACAGGCAAACCCGAGCCTGCCTGTGAAACTCCAGGCAGCTGCTTCCTATGCCGGTTTACCTTGACACAGGAAAACCAGCCCAGCGCCACTACAGCCTCCCCTTCCCAGCACAGCTTCCAGCTGCCGGAGGGCTGGGAGGGGACAGCCAGCTCTGCTGCTCATCCTGGCCAGGAAGCATCCGGACACCCGTCCCAGGCATCCGGAGAGCTATTGTCTTTCTGAAACCACTGCTGGATGGATCGCCTGGTCCCTTACTCCCCCCTATATATTGCTGTTATCCCACCTCTCAAGCAGAAAGGCACAGAGAGAGGTAAATACCCCCTCGTAAAGCCATCCGGGAATGGGCACTTGGTGTCTCAACAAACCCACACTACACAAATTCAGGCACTGGGACTGAGACAAGCTGCTTCATTGCTCCCCACACCTCCCAGGGCCTTTTCTCCTCAGGGCTGCCAGCGCTGCCATCGTGGTGCTACAGCCGACTGCTGGGATAGGGAAAGATTACCAGGATTTGGAGAAACACCCTGACAATACCGGAATGAAGGACACAGGACCCGTAAGGCCGTTGCTGCAAGCAGGTATTACAGCAGCAGCATGCGTCTGTGCACACACACGCTTCTCTGCTTTCCCCCTCTGCATTTGCCAGCCCCGCATGGGACACTGGCATCAGGCAATGGCAAAAGCCAACAGCTACTACTCAGAGAGTTAATAATACTTCATCAAAACTTCCCAACAATGACATTTTTGTCTTGGCTTTGGAATATTATCAATGAACGGAAAGTACATAAATAACCTATTTTCTCTCCTTGCAAAATATAACATTAGTGAACTTAATTCCTTGTCTCCAGGGCTGCTTTACTTCTAGATCACTTAAAAAAAAGCAAAACAAAAGAAAACCCCACAAAACAAAGAAGTGTTAAGCTGTTAAAACCTTGCCTTCAAGAATTTGCACAGGCACAGCCATAACCCCCAACCCCTTTGTTTTGATGCGAAGCAGCCACCCAACCCGGTGTCCCCCACCCTGCCTACTTTAAACATCTCCATGTGTCACTTCGAGTTACAGGGCTGCGCAATCAGGTCACTCTTTAGAAAGCAAATTGCATGAGAACAAGCCCGGCAGCCGAAGACAAGCAGGCACGGCTTTTGTTCACCATTTTCTCACGAGCCCTTTCACTACATTAAAAACCCACCACCAAACGAGGCACCCTGCCTCCCCTCGCTGGGCAGACACCAGCTCCCGCTCCCAGGGGACAGCTTTTGGCTGGATTGTTCAGGGAAGAGCCATAATCCCAACCACCCCAGACTCCCCCGCTTGGGTCCTGGCGGAAAGCCTCACAAATGAGCCAGTGCTCATTACCAAGAGCGACTGAAGAAGCGAATGCTGAGAGGGAAATACTCTTCCTTGTCTGAATGCCTTTTCAGCACCCCAAGCCACCTAGGCGAAGGGGCCCTTTGCCCAGACGCCTCCAGGAGCTCAAAGCTGATGGGGAAAAACCCTAAATGTTGCATTTTTTGCTGAATGTGCAGTTTCTTTGGTGGGGGACAAGAAGAATTGCTTTATGGCAGTGGCATTTGCTCACAGGGAGGGGAAAATGCCAGTGGGTGCCCATGAGAGCACCCACCACTGGGCTGGTGGGGTGCTCTGCTCTTCAGCTGCGCTCCACCCACACATGAGGTTTACATGTACTGTCACACCGGGATGACACTGGACCAAGCCCCCTGAGCATGCTGCCTCCTGCCATGTCCCCAGCTGTAAGGAGGGTTACATGAGCATGAGATGGGGAGGTGCCCGCTATTCCCCTGGGATTCCCGCCGGCATCCCCGCTGCTGTTCCTTGCACGGTTTGCCGTACTCACCACGCAGTAAGCCACCAGGGCTCCCTGTGCAAAGCCTGCCAGCACGTCGGTGGGGTGATGCTTGTGGTCCGACACACGGGACAGGCCGGTGTAAAACGCCATCATGATGAGGGTGAACTGGAGGAGGGGACGGAGCAGGCGGGCTCCCTTCCACGTGAATCTGGCCTGCAGATAAAACTGTGGGGAAGAGAGGAAAACAAAAAGGTTGCGTTAATTTGAGGGCGGCAAAGGAGAAGCTGTGCCCAAAATGTGCATGTGTGGCAGCACCTGCTCTGTGGGGCTGGCTGTGGGGCACCTACAGCCAAGGCTCAAGGAGGGAGGGAGGGGAAGAAGGACGCTCTTTGCAAATGTGTGGCCTCCTACATGCAGAGGGGAGTGGAGCAGGGAGCGAAGCTGGAGGGATTGTAATCCATGGAGGGGATGCGGGTGGAGGCGGATGGGTACAGCCCTCCCTTGGTGAGCCAGGGTCAGGAGCTTGGGACCCCTGCATCCTGGCTCAGCTCCCAGCCCTGCTTCAGCCTCCAAGCCCATTGGGGTCACACACAACATCCTGGAAATTCCTCCCCAATGCTATTTATCACAAGAGAGAAGCAAGGTCCCGAATTTGGGGCATGCAGGACCCACAGCATCTCACGGAAGAAAAATAGGAATCAACGCAGCATGCCACACCTCCAGAGCCAGCCCCAAGGATTTCCAGACACAGCCGCAACCGCTGACATTGTGGATGTAAAATGCAATCCTCTGACACTGCCACCACATTTCCCAGCCCAAGCCCTGGTGTTTGCAGGGGCGTAAGCAAACAGCCGCCCTGTTGCATGGCATGGGAAGTCGCTCTTACCCAGCGAGGGAAAAGCAAGATCCTGGCTCGACCCAAAAAGATGAAGCTGGCATGACATCAAACGGGCATTGTCCGTGTCCCATCCCCCTCCCCCCCTCCCCGACTATCTTGGGCCCATTTCCGTTTCGGCTGGCGGGCATGGCCAGTTCCTGTGGGAACCGGGAAGCTGGGTGGGAAGAGAGGACAGGAAAACCGCAACCCGCTGCCCACAGATGAGCGGGGCCGGGCGCAGCACAGGGAGGAAGGCTGCGGGAAGGGAGAAATGCTGCAGCAGCCTTCGGGCTTGGGGAGGAGAGAGGCATTCAGTGCCTTGAAGAGTGTAAAAGTGCCTGGAAAATGCTGCTTGGCTCCTGCAGCTCGGACCCGCTGCCCAAGGGCTCAGCCACAGCAGGTATTTTCTGCTTGTATCTAAATGAAACTGCTGCAAGTCAGACCCAGTGCGCTTCGTGGGACTCTACAACATCACAGGGCTGGAAAGGGGTTTAATACCCATTTACGATCCCTTTTACATAGCCAGAGCAGTTTACACTGCCTTGATATAAAAGGGAATGAAGCTCTTGCTGGGTTCCCTAAAACCACAAATAACTTAATGACACCATTTACCTATAAAAGCAGAATTAATTAGCAAGCTGATAAGAGGGAAGCATCGTTTTGGCCAATTTAGTATGTTTGGCTGTTGAATAAACATAGTATTTACCACTTTTTGGAAAGAATACAGACTGGGCTCTTTAGAGGAAATCAAACATCATGTCATCCGAATGGAGCAGATGCTCCAAATTATCCAAATTGTTAGCCAATTAACATGGAAGAGAACAGCACCAAAACAGCTCAGCGCTGGCTAATGCACGTCACGATTCTGGGGAACATATCTGCAAACCAGCCCGAGTCTGGGAACAGAGCCACGTCACCATGGCATACATCCCACCCCATGCAAACGTGCACACGCAATGCTACAGGACGAGTTACAGCTCTCTAGATCTCCACAGCAAACCCACGCTGATGTAGCCCAGTGAATGGACCACTGGGCTGGTTCTCTAGATTGTGACTGTAATTTCTACGCTCAGGAGAAAGATGAGTTGGCAACCAACATATCAAAATTAGGAGGCATGTTCTGCCCAGAAAGAGCTAAAAAACACCCAAAAACCCCAGCACCAATGAGGAGGTGCTTTCCCTCCAGGTAAAATGCAGCCACCACTGAACTGGAAAGCTGGAGCTGTAAAATAGCACAACGCCATCCTGCACAGTCATTTGCAGTGATTTAACAGCAGGCACTTCATCCTACAAGCAAATATCTATGCAGTTCATTAGCAGGAAACTGTGTTTTTAGTTTGCAATGCTTAGGCTGGCTGAATTTTTATTGCCATGGTATTTGTGCATCCAGTGATCTGCCACCGAGAATAAACTGTAAGAGCAGGATAAGTATTCTGGGAAGCTGGTAAGAGAGTGAGCTGAGGGTCCTGATATCTTTAAATACAACTTCTCAGTGTAGAAACAGTGTCCCTTGAAAAAACAGCATTTCTGGAGAGTAGCATTTTTAAAGCACAGGGAAGATATAAAAATATGCTTCTATTGCCATGATTTAGGCTCAGGATTATCTTCATGTTCAAGAGTCTCAGCCCAGCCCAGGTGACAGTGCAAAACTCAGGTTCCCATATGTTGTCGCAGAGCAAAATTAGCTCCGAGTATTATATCTTAGAAACTATCACTGTTAGTTCTACCAGGAAGACTTGAAACCTAACGCCTTACTTTAATCTTGAGGCTCTGTCACACCAAACCCCTTAAAAAAGAAATTTACTGCTGGATAATGTGACATTTGTCCCTCTTACACAGCCTTGACATCCCCTCAAACCATTCCATCCCACAAGTTTGGACTAAATAGGTTGTATATAGGTGAGGAAGCAAAGCATCAACTAAAAATTAGAAGTAAAAAGGTAACCCTAAGTTTGAACATGCAACAAAGCAGACACTTTTAGGGCTGAAGCAATTAAAAAATAAATGTGTTTGTATACAGACTCATTCCTTCCAAAGCACAGCTCTGAACTGTATGCCTAATCCACACACTTTAGCCCTGGAAAAGGTGTTCAAAGGCAGCATGGCACCATACGAGGTGTTCTGGGTGCCACCCCAGTCCCCAGCACCCCACCTCATGCCCACACCTGTATATCCTGGAGGAGTGAAACCCACCCAAATAGATGCACCTCAGACACTGCACTATCAGTGTAAGGATTTTAACTGACAGGTCCTTTTACTGCTGCAATAAGCATCTTGGAAAAATTGCTCTTTAGTTCCCCATTCAGAAAGGAAAAAAAAAAAAAAAGAAAAAAAAAAAAAAAAAAAAAGAGGAAATTAGCACTTCTTTTTGTCCCCAATAAAAAAAAAAAAAAAAAAAAAAAAAAAAAAAAAAAAAAAAAGAAAAAAGAGGATAATAGCACTTTTCATTCCACAAGCATATTATGAGCATGCAGTACGTCGAAAACTGTGCTCAAACACCAGGGTGCTGAGGATCACCTAAGTACTTTAGGTGTGAGCCTTGAGGTGCTCCAAACTTTGCTTCTGCCCTCAGTATGAAAGAAAAGTCTAGTTAATAAGAGGTCAAAAAGCAAAAGAAGGGCTTGGGAGCTGAAAGGATCAAAATTTCCCTATTAGTGCTATTACTAAGAAATGGGAAGTCCCTAGCAATTTATCTGAAAACCTGATTTTGAAAGGTTTTTTTGAAACCTGTGAGTAAGTCTGAAGTGCTGCCTGCTAAGGACTGCCTGATTTGGATTGGAACATGGGGCTGGATGGAGCCCTTCCTGGGAGAGGATGGAGGAGTAAGACCACAACCAGGGTTATTTCCACCACAGATCATCACAGGGCAGCAAAAGTCAGGAGGAGCATCAACAGGAGCAAGCATGGATGAAATGAAATGGGATCACACAGAGCAGGAGTTATTTGGAGCTTCCATCCACTGTCTCCTGGCAGAGGCCAAGTTACCACAAAGCAGATGGCTTGAAGGACGTCATATCGTTCTTCTTCTGCCAGGGGACTTCCACAGCGCTGGTGGGGACAGCCCGCGGCCACACACAACCCCCAAGCAAACCCATCGAGGAGGAGCTGGCAGGGGACACGGGCTAAAAGCATCACCTCCAGCCTCCCAGGGCTTTCTGCCACGCAGAAATCCCATCCTGTTCACACTATCCCCACCGCAAGGCTGAACTCCATCAGCCACATCCCTTAGTCACAGCTAAGGTTTCCTTCTGGGAAACGACTGGTCTTGTTTCTGACTGTCTGACCTGATGTTACCTCCAGCCCCATCTGCAAACAGAGCAGTACAGGACCAAACCCCCTCAAACCCAAACTCACCCTGGTGTAATGCACTGCCCTGGCTGGGCAAAGCCAGCTGGAGGAAGGGTAACTACAGAATTCAGCTTTTAGCACCAAGATGGCCAGAGGACAAGGACAGGAGAAGGGCAAAGACCTCCCAGCACCAAAGGGATGTGTGTTTCCCTCTTCCCTGCCTTTACTGGATGTACAGCATCCTCCCACCCTGTCGGGAATCTCCCCATCAGTTCAGCAACGCAGTTCATGCCTCAGCCCTGGCCTCTGATGTAAATCCAGTTTGTTCACTTACTTAGGTCACTGCTAAACTTGACTCCAAGCGCACAACCACCAGGAAGCCTCCTTCGCATGGGCACATCAGAGCACAGCAGCACAAGGGCACTGGGACATTCTCCACTCTCCAGCAAGAAACCCCAGTGCAAGGCTCACCCAGACACACAAAACCAGCAACACCTCTTAATTTTTCATTTATACGAGTAGAACACACTAAAACCCATTCTGGTCTGAAGTCTTCAACCTCATCCACTGATGCACATCAAATAGCCAAGCTTCCCTGTTTTACTCCCCTTTTATTTAGAATCAGTCAACATTGCTGAAAGATACTAATTTAGCTTTTCTGATATTAATTTAGGTTTTCTGCATCCTCTGTGTAGTCTCAGGCAACTTTGGGCCGTAAAAATTATGGTCTCATGTGCTTGAAGGGAGTGGAAAGCCCCCATCGCTCTCTGCAAAGACTCCCCATGTCCAGCAAAACAAAACTGAGAGGTGCAGGTCAGGTCCAGAGGCTTGCGTGGAATAAGGCATTAAATACCTCCTTTTTCCTCAGCCTGCTATAAATATGTATTACGGGGTTGCTCAGCCAAGGCGTAACAAAGCAAGGAAAATTAAGACAAAGAGGATTATCCAAGTGTAATTTCCCCTTTTAAATTTTTTATACAAAGGGCTGATACTGGTGACAAGAAGGCTGCGAGAAACTCAACCATGAAGTCTCAGTGTTTAGAACTAAATCCCAGGAGATCTTGCTGTGTTGCAAGCACCTTTCCCTGGGACCTTTCCCCCAGAGCCCTGCGGAGGTTGACATCTATCTGGCATTTTCCTATCAGGAGTCCGGGGCCAAACTGCTTCTCCCTGATGGATACCACTGGGCGCTCTTCCTGTGGCAGGTGAAGCTGTGGCCACCAGTCCACTGGCCACCAAACACCCAGGCAAATCCATCCCCACGGTGCAGGCAGAGCCCTGTGGGATGCATGGGAATCCTGGTATCTTTTAGTAGACTGACTAAAGGTTTCTGGCACCCATCTCCATCAGGTGAGGCAAAGTTGAAAACATTGTAATTCAGAATGGGCTCTAAGAGTGAAGGCAGGGAATGCCAGGAAAGACGGGAAGTGACTTATCCTTGAAATATGAAGTATTGTTCAATGGGGAATGCTCTCAGGACGTGGCTGATCAGCCAAGCCTCTGCAGCACTCGCTCGGCCCCACAAACACCCCCACTCTGCAAAGGCTCCTGGCAAACTCCCAGCACCCAAAGCGCCAGCAGCGACCTGCTGCGGCACAGCCCTCGCTTCCCAGGAACTGGGGAACAACCTGTTTGTTCCCCCCCCCGCCCCCCTTCTCTCTCTCTCATATTGAGATGATTCCCTGATTAAATCCATCAAACCCACCTCCTGCAGGCACTGGCATGGTGGATGTCATGTTTCTAACCAGGCTTCCAAAAACTCACCCAATCACTGAGCTAGGCAAGACAGTAGGGTTTATTTTGCATTAAATAAAATCCCTCTGGGTTATTATAACCTCATGGTTTTTTTTATTTTTTGGGGTTATTAACAGCCTCTCCAACACGACAGATTTTCTGCCTCCCTTTTTCTATGAGATTTCTCGTTCAGGCTCCGGCAGTGGCCAGGGAGCCGGAGCGATGGAGAGCAGAGCGCTGTGAGACAAGTTCAAATCACAGAATCATTTAGGTTGGAAATTACCCTTAAGATCATAATTTCCTCACCTCCAATACACAATGCATCACACTGTCTTGTCTCAAGTTGCCTTTTTCTCCCTTCAATTTATGACCAAACTCTCGGTATAATTTTTCCCCTGACTTTAAGGCACAAGGCAACTGAAGAGCTTGTCAGGTAGAGCCTGGTACCAACCTTACCCCAGTTTTGGGACAAGGAAAAAAATAAAATAAAGTCATTCTTAAGGGATTGGGCATCAAAACCCCTCCAAGGAGAGAGACAAATGGAGCAGCTGTCCTGCTGTCCCACAACAGGCAGGGAGAAGGGCAGAGGCTGCTGATAGCCTGAGTGCTCCCATACGGGGACAGCAAAGAGAGATCAGAGACAGCTTTCTGCTCTGAAGAGTTACGCAGGAGCTAAACGCCACTTTTGAAGTCTGCCACAAAGTTAAAGCAGTAGGCATTAGTGGAAAGCGGTTTTGGGGTCTCCAGTGCACCTCCTACCACTGGCCCCCTGGACACCG